AGAGAGAGAGAGAGAGAGGTGCGTGTGTCGTCGAGCCATAGAGCAGAAAAGGACAGAAGAGGCAACTTGGGGCGAGATGTTATACCAGTCTAAGAAGCGAGGGTCAGAGGACGTGCTTCATCGCCACGTGGACATAGACACAGTGAAAACAATGTCCACGGCAGAGAGGGGTCACGACAGAGGTCCTCCTGTCGGCCCAAGTCACTGACGGAAAATATGTGAGGCAGCGTGGTGGAATCAGGCTCTCGTCAAAGTAATCAAAGTGAAGAAATTTGCTTTTTTCTGTGGGTTTGTGAATTTTTCTCAAATTTTTGTATTTTGGCTCAACACCTTTCATGCCCATTAAAGAACTCATTTCTGTGTGGATTTTTCAGAAAAACGTTCATTAAAGGCACAAAAAATGTAAATTTTCAGTTACCACGGACTCTTAAGCTAAGGAAATAACTAATCTTTGGCGGCCATTTTCTCACTAATTTTACCTCTGAAAACAGGTGACCCCCACTTCCTTCATTCGCAAATAGGCCTACCTCGACTTGTATTCAAGATAAATGGATATTTTTTTCATCCAAATAAAGACAAGTGAACAGGCTTTAAGATGATACCAATAACTCTACGCGCCCAAAAATTGACGAGAGCCTGATTCCACCACGCTGTCTCACATATGTTCGTAACCATGGAAGGATTAGTCGTAGAAACAGAAAGATTAGATCTAATCGAAGTCATAGCAAAACTACAGCGTTAGCCGCAGATGTATTTGCCATAGCCATGGATTACAGAGGCAGCTATTGATGGATTGCTCTAACTATAGAGGGATTCGTCGTAGCTCTGAAGAGATTACAGCCGTACGGATAGTGGAGTTATGGTCGCAGCTATTTATTCCAGAGATTACGGCCGTACCGATAGCGAGGTTATGGTCCTAGCTATATTTATATAACACAGATTACGGGTGTACCCATAGTGGGGCTATGGTCGTATTCAAGATATTATGGTCGTACCGATGGTGGGATTCTGGTCGTAGCTATATTTATATCTCAAAGATTACGGGGGTACAAATGGTGGAGTTATGGTCGCAGCTATTTATTCCAGAGATTACAGGTGTACCAATGGTGGAGTCATGGTCGCAGCTATTTATTCCAGAGATTACGGTCGTATCGATAGCGAGGTTATGGTCGTAGCTATATTTATATCTCAAAGATTACGGGGGTACAAATGGTGGAGTTATGGTCGCAGCTATTTATTCCAGAGATTACAGGTGTACCAATGGTGGAGTCATGGTCGCAGCTATTTATTCCAGAGATTACGGTCGTATCGATAGCGAGGTTATGGTCGTAGCTATATTTATATCTCAAAGATTACGGGGGTACAAATGG